CGATCATACGTTTCTTTCGATAAATCCTCTTCAGGCCTGTAAATGTATATGGTAATTAAATTAATAAACTATGCTGGTTGGTGGAAATATGTAGTGTAGTTGTTGTTCTCAGGTAGACTCAAGCCATCGCGTGGATGCCAGAGAGGCTTTCCGAGTGATCTACAAGGTAACTTCCAGCCATTTAAAATTACTTTGACAGCGTCTGTTGGCAACAGCAGAAGCCGCTGCCATCAGGCTTCGCAGACCGGGACTGAGTGCTTAAAAGAACTTTGTAACAGCGCTGCAGTTACCATGGACGAAAGTCACTAAAACAACCGCACCGGCCTCGGAAACGGATCCCTCCAGAGACGGACAAGTCCCCACTTCTATCGCGCGCATCTTATCATCTGTCTTAGCCGCCGGCCCGCTTAGACACTAACATTTTGACCGCAATTTCGCCCACCGCCCCTGAAAAAAAAAATCAACAACACTACATCCTACCACATAAACGTAGAAGAGAATTCACTGAAAGCAAACGTATGCTCGTCAATCTATCTTTTGATATTTACAATGGAGATTTTCACAAATTTAAGAAAAAATAAAAATATGATGAATGCACGTACATTCTCAACGTAAAGACTCCGAGGCGAGCAGGGCATCTTCACGTGATCTTTATCCCAAGCGTCGACAAACACGGCTGGTGTGGGCTGTGGCATGCCGTCCCAATCGTGTCCTGTCTTTAGAAGTAAGAGTATCGAAATAAGGCGGGGAATACCTCATACAGGCAGACATCACCTGCCTCATTGCCACCCACGTCCTCGACTTCATTTACGGGCAGAAGATGTAAGTTCTTGACAGAAACAATCTGATAGAATCACTCAAAAAAGCAAGAAACCTTCCAAGTGAATGAGCCGAAACTGGGATTGAGAGAAGGCGGTGCATTTGAGGCAGGACGATTGGTGGCAGTCGTAGTTCCATGAGCGTTAGTTTTCGGCTGAGTGTCACTAGCAAACAAAGGAATAGGAGAGGCGTCTTACCTTTCTGACTCGTTTGGCGATTTCTTTGCGGATTGCAGGAAGGATTCTTCTATGCTCAGCTGACGCTTAGCAACTGGTCTGCGAATCATTAGTGTCGGCAGATAAGAATGCTGTCGGAGGCAGATGAGAATGGGGAATAGGCGGATCGATCTTGAAATGTATGTTAAAATTCTGTACCTGAAGCCAGAGTTTACAAAAAAGACAATAAGAAGAAGAGCTTATAAAAAAGGGTAATATAGGCAAACTTTTCCGGAAAATTTTGAAATCAACAGATTATAGAAGCACTGAAATTTTTTCAAGTCAGAAGTAGGATCGGTTTTCGATTTCGGCATTTTTGGCCTGAACAAACATTTGTACGTCAGAATGCTGTTACTATTTGAACACGAAACGACATTCTCTAATGGTGACAAATAACAAATGACAAACGCGTACAATCAAGTAGACTAAGGCTATTAGCTATTTAAGACTGCATATTTTAGGAAACGCGGATGAAATTATTGAGGACGATACATCAGCAATATCGCCACAATAACGGGGTTTTTTGACGAGAACGTTACAAATAACTTGTAGTATATTTATCCGGAAACAAGTAGTAATAT